ATACCCCCTCAAAAAAAACCCTCAAACCAAAAAGCTGTGAACAGTAATAGAGGGAAATGATAAAACGCTGAGAAGCATCTAATACCTTCATACAAGCAGCTGGAGCAGCTCTGGATGCAAACACTAACTCAGTAATACAGAATGATAACAAGTGGAAGGGACGACATACAGGATTAAGCACGGCTTAGTTGCACATTCTGTCCCCGCCTCCACCCCATTCATCCAAGCCTCAGCAGCTTGGATTATGCACTCTGGTGGGCACATAGTAGGGTAGAGTGAGATAAAAGTTTACTTGCTCTTCATCCTTCTCACTTTCTTCAGACACTCTCTCTGTTTACCCCAGCACTGCCTGATTGCTGCCAACTCGTTCTCCCCTGACTTAGCCACTTAGATTAGAAGTTTCTGGAGGTGGTATGGAGAGACAATGTCCCATCTCTGCATGGCCCCAGCTGCTCCCCATAGGGAGCTGCATTTGGAGCAGGCCTGTTCCCCAAGGCCCAGGATGCCACACAGACAGGTCCTTTCAGTTTTGCTATTCCAGCATTTTGCAACCCACCTTTCTAGTCCTACACAGGAACAAGGGGTCAAGAACTGTGCTTCTGCTTCATGATCTATTTTAGACCCCTGCCCCCTTTTTGAACACAGAGACGATGGTTAGGTGTGTGGGGGGATTGTGCTGAGATTTAGAATGCTAAGCATGTGGCACAGCAAGATCCCCCTGGGTGTCAGCTAACATCACATGATTCCTTCTCCTCCTAGTAACAAGGATGCCCCATGACCTGATGACTAATGTCAAAGCACACGAAGGTTACTTAACCAATTAACGCAAGTTGTGTGTGGTACGCTCTGCTGTGTCAGGGGTCACATACAACTAAGGAGGAAGGCTTGCCTCAGGCTTTTCTGTATGACCATTGCAGCTCCAGCCTGCCCTAGGTGGCCTTCTCTCACTATCATACTGGGGATCCTGGTTCTGGGTTGGGTATTCCATTGCATGGTTTGCTGGGTCATGTGATCTGAGAGTGCTAGAACCACCAGCATCCTAAGGAGATGACGGGGATGAAGAGAGCAGAGCTCAGGGACTTGGGTCTATGTATCTGGCACATGCTACATGGAGTCACATGCAGCAGTGTTAGGAGTCCTCATTATGGTTCTCTGACTCCTTGGGAACCCTTGTAGGGATGTAGTGAGTGTAACCGCTACTTGGGGTGTACTATTCCTCAGCTGGAGCACGGTTTATGGTGTATAGCATGGTGTATGACAGACGCTCCTCCCACATGTTCAAGTGTCTTCCTCCCCAAGCTTCTGGCCCCTTCCAGTCTGTAGCTTCCTCCTTATCCTGCCCTCCCCTTGAGCCCCACTCCCTCCCTCTATCGTCCTCCACCTTCTTTTTTGGGGGTGGTCTTTTGAGACAGGGTTCTCTGTGTAGCCCCAGCTGTCCTGGAACTTGTTCTGTAGTCTAGAGTTGGCCTTAAACTCAGAGATCTGCCTGCCTCTGCCTCCCAAGTGCTGGGACTAAAGGCGTGCGCCACTATCTCCTGACTTCCCCAACTTAATCTCATCTAGTTTTTTGACTGCTTGCCAACGACCCTCCCATCTGAACCCTAGCAGTTCCTGGTTTCACTGGGGGAGCCCAAGGCAGTGTTACTCTGAGTGGACTAATGTCAGACCCTAAGGCTAGGAGAAAATAGGCATAGAGTACCAATGCTATATGCATGGGTTATCTTTTCAGAAGTCTCTGAGCTGCAAAGTGACCTCTGCAGAAGACCAGTTACATTTCCTTTTACCCTTGAAATTCGACTTCAGGGAATCATTTTTTTTGACATCAGTCTCTAGAAGCAAAGGGAAGATCTATGCTTCTTGATCAACTAGATCGTTCTGGGCCTGGCTCCAATGTCACTCATTAGGCACACGGAGGTGGGAGCAGACAGTGCTGGTTCTGTCAAGAAAATCGGGAAGGAGGTTCTGAAGAAGTTTCCCTGCTCAGCTCTGGATTGCCCTCTTGGCTTGGAGCTCAATGTCCCATGTCCCACCCACTTCCCCACCCAGGGTATGGCATGACACTCAGCAGAAACAGGAGGCAGCCGGGCAGTGTTCAGTATACAGACTTTCTTTTATCTTTGAGAGACAACAACATGTGACAACTTCAGAAACCACACCACTGACCAGACAGTGCTGGCCATTCAGAGTCCCATCACACACACAAATGTAAGGTCATCCAGGTTAAGTCTCTGAATTTCTTGACGCTCCACTGCCTGCAATACAGATTGCAAATAAAGTGCACCATGACATCATACGGAGAGGGCACCATGGGCGAACAAGTGTAGCCAAGGGGATGGGAAAGCGGAAGCTCACAGATTAACCAGGACCAGAATGGGACATGAACTCAATGCTGAGTCTTAGCTCTGCCCCCTCCTGGCTGACACCACTGGGTCCAAAGTCCAGCCCAATATCAGTGCCTCTGATCTCACACCATAGCCTTGCCTGAGCATGGGCAGGGACAGGCTTTCCTGTAGTCTAAGGTCTAAGAGGAAGGGGTCTCAGATTTCATACTCATTTCTCCTAGTAGTCCATGATCCTTCCTGTACTTGGAAAACAGAGGACTCCCAGGAGCTCTTCTCCCTACCCAATAACAATATTCCCCTCACACACATTTACATACAAGCACACACATGCATTCGAATATACATACATGGACTTCTAGTGAAACTTGGGAGAAGGAAGCCATCGGTCCTGTCCTATGATGAGCAGCATTGGCCATGTGGCAGCCACCTTTCAGTTTGTGCCCTTTGGGTGAGACAAACTGAGACCTTCATCTGGGTCCCTGACTCTGAGTGGCCAGTTGTGCCACTCTGTCCCTGGGGCTGGCTGGCATGCTTGAAGGTTGCTGTATCAGGAATGGAATGAGTAGACCTTGAGATACCAGTGCCAGAGGAGCTGGGGGAGTATGGGATAAGTCGTAAAAGTATCCCTTGGGCCGTTCTTGGGCATTTAGAGATCACAACTTCTGGCCTACATAGGGCCTCCTGGACAGGCTGTCCTCAGCTTATCTGGATGAGATTTCCCATGTGACGCCAGGGATGGGCCTGCAAGCCTGGTACAGAGAAACAGGGCCATACCATGGGTCTCAGCCCACATCTCCTCAGCCTTCCAGTGACATCATGACCCTATAAACCACAATGCCATCATCACTACAGTTCACTAGCACACAAGTGCTCAGGAACCCTTGGTCAAGCACCAGAGAAGTGGGGGGCTTGGCTCTGGTGGGGGACTAGACATTTTAGGAAATGCTTGAATCTCCCTCTCTGTTTATAAAATGAACTGTTCACCTGTCTTCTAGACCACTCCAATGAAATACAGATGCCTAGCTACCCTATCTCATGGCCTCTCTTTCTCCCTATGACCCCTGGTAGCTCTCCACTCCCTCCCAACCCCAATGCCCTGCCAGGTCATGAAGAAACTGCAGAAAGGGTGGAGGAATGCCAGTCCAGGATCCCCTGTGTAACAAGGGCAAGTCCCAGGCCCTTCCTTAAACCCCATCAAGTTCATGAGATGGGAGAACACATCTCCCTCACAGTGTTGCTAGGAGATATCAGTGTCCAAGGTACACTGGCATGTTTTCTGTGGAGGGACCAGGAGACCTGAGCCACCTTACCCCTGTGGGCTCAGCAGAAAGGTCCTTCTTCTAGGCAGACTCTTCTCTCAGCTGCTCCCCAGGCTGCTACAGGAGCAGTGGCACCTCTAGGATTCCAGTTGAACTGTTTGGAGAAGGGGTGAGCCATCACCCGGAAGACCAATGCCTGAGAAAGAAAGAGAGACTTCAGAGTTGGCCTCCTGTGTACTCCCCTTCTCTGCCCTATTCTGAGAGCAGCTGCCTGCTTCTGGAGTCCTTCCTATTTCTCCACATCCTGTGGCAACACAGCAGCCATGCCGCTCATGGCTGGTACACAGGCTTCTGGGTCTCCGGAGTGTCACTGCAGGTCCTTCAGGGAGCCTGGGCAGACAGGGAGGGTGGGAGAAAGTAGCTCGTGGGGGAAGAGATGGTTAAACCAAGTATTTCCTGTTCTTCCCTTACTGCAGATGCAGAGCCTAAGGAATGCCCTCAGACAGGGTTAGGGAAAGAAGTGGCTGAGTGCAGTCCCCTGCCCCCACCCCCAATAGTGCTGGAGGCAGTTTGGGAAGGGCCGTGAACAGCTGCGGAAAGTATCCTTGGGCCTCCCTGCCAAGAAGGGGACAGGCCTGGTGATTGGTTCAAAAACAACTGTTCGTTTTATCTGCTTGCCTGACTTAGGTAGAGATGGGTGGATAAATCTTAACTGTCTAGGGCCTTCCTGGGAGCTCACTGGCCCAAATCCTCTCCCATTCAGGGTGACATCTCATGAGTCCTCTGCATAACAAGGCACTGGATGCCTGGAAGGTGGGTGGGAGGGGCTCCCTGTCTGTGTGCTGGTGATGAGCTGACCCTCCACGATGCCCCTCACCCGATCAAGGAATCCCACTACCAGGGAACTGGAAAAGCCTCGCCTACCCTTTTAGTTTCCCAGCTTGGCTAGGCAGCAGGTGTGTCCGGCTGTATTCTCTACTCCCACAAACCAGGTGTCTGGGTATTTAGATGCCATGGCCACATGCCTACCTGCCCCCATTCCAACCTGTAGTCGCCTACCTTTAGGCACAGGGCCTGGTAAATCCAGTCCTGTGGTAGCAGCATCCCTTCTTCTGGGCTCTCCCGCTTTCAGCCAATGGGGAGGCAACCAACAGGTTTGCCAGACTCTGGTGATTTTCTGGATGCAGAGGGAAAGGGCTGGGCTGTGAAGGTTTTTGCGGTATGGGATGCGGTTCCTTAGGCCCTCGGCAGAGACCTAAAATGGAGAGGCCCGGGCCGTGCCGCCTGCGCCCCCCGCCGCAGTCTCGAGGCACTGTGCGGCCCCGCTGTCCTTCCCGCGGCCACCAGGGTGGCGCGGAAGGAGCGGGTGGCCCTCTCCGCAGCGGCGGAGGGCGTTTGCTCACTCGATCCGCACCTGCAGGCGGACGTTGAGCATCACGGAGGCCACCATGTAGAAGTAGGGGAAGTTCACACGCAGGCGCCAGGCCAGGTCGAAGAAGGTGAGTAGCGTGCGTGTGAGCCCCTTGCAGAAGGCACCATAGGAGCTGCGTGTCGCCGCCCAACGCGACAGTCGCACTGCCAGGCCAGATAGGGCTGCCGCCGCCGCAGCAGCAGAGAGGGCCGCAGTCACCGCCATTGGCCTGGCTCACCGCTCACCTGCTGCAGAAACAGCTCTGCGCCGCGCCACGCCACCCGATGCTGTCCGCAGCCCCGCCCTAGGGCTCCGGGGTCCTTGCAGCCTCCAGTGCTCCGCCCCCAGCACCGCCGCCTCTGTAGCTCTCCGCCCTCCCTCCAGACCTGCGGCTGCTCAGCTCCGCCCCCTCGCTGCAGGCTCAAGACAGAAGCCCTTCCTCTAGTTCAGCAGGTATCCTTAACTCATCCAGGGTCCAGCTGCCGCAGAGTGGCTGTACTGCTAGGGCCAGACTTGCTTCACCCCACTGACACAGTCCCCACGGATAGGAACCCTTTCCCCACGAAGTTCCGCACCTTCCAAGTGCTTGTCCCACCTGTTCAGCTTGTTCTTTCTTGCTAGAGTTTACAGAGACTGAGTGGCTTGGAAGCTGTGCTCCTAGGATTCCCTGGCGAAATCGGCTAGGATGGGGGCAGTTAAGGACTAGCTCTTGGAGACTACTGCTATTTCGATAGGAAACTATATCCAGAAATTCTCTCCTATGCACGCTAACACCCTGCACTGTCTTCCCAGGAAGCCAGGTCAAAGGACTCATTGCACCTTTCTTTATTCTCATAATGTACTTAACTGTCCCAAACAGTGCCATCAAAGCAATGGCGCATGCATTTTGTTCCTTTTCTGTTGTATTTGCTGGTCGCTCTTTCATGTTAACTTCTAATCTTTACATCAACAGGTTCAATCAAATCCAACCCAAAGCCAGATCGTCTCTGGAGATGCAGGGCAGTGTTCAGTCACCTATGCAAAGGTGAGGGCAAAACCAGCCAAGATTCTACACTGCAGTGTGATGCTCAAGCACTGTGTTCAGTAGGTTAGGCACAGGAAGTGCATTTTTGTCTTAGGATGTTTTCAACTTACAATTGGTTTGTCTAGAGGTAAGGAGTGTAAATCAAAGATCGTCTGTATACATTGCATTGCTATGGAGTAGAGTAACCCCTCCATCCTCATTTTTATTTTATAGCATGTCTTTAGTTATTCTCGAGGCTGTACGCATCCATGTAATTTTAGAATCAGCATGTCTGTGAGTGCAAAAAGGCATCGCTGGAAATTGTGTTAAATTAATAGAACAATTTGAGGGAGAAACTGACACCATTTCTATGATGATTGTACTAACTCATGAACACAATCTGTCTTTGTTCATCAAGATGGGTTTTTTTTTTAATTTCTTTTATTGGTATTGAGGTCCATTATAAAGATTTGTTAAAGATACTCTAAAATACTAATTTTCTTTGAAGCCATTTTAAATGATTTTGGACTTTTGATCTCAGTTTCCATATGCTTGCTAATTATTAGTATATAGAAATATATTATGTATGTATGTATATGTATGTATATGGATTCCTGTGTGGTTACATAGGCATATGTAGCATGCCTGTTTGTAGAGGCAAGAGGACAAGCAAAGGAAGACTATCCACTTTGTTTTTTGGATAGTCTCTTAATGGCCAGGGGCCTTCCAAGTAGACCCGAAGACCAGAGAGCCCCAAGGATCTGCCTGTCTTTGCCTTCCCAAGTTCTGGGATTAAAAACATATGCCACCACCCAGTGGAATGGCACATGCCTTTGATCCTAAGCACTCAGGAGGCAAGGACAGGCAGACCTCTGCAAGTTTCCAGACAGCCTGGTCTACATAAAGTCCCAGGCCAGTCATGCCTACCTGGTGAGTCTGTCTACAACAAAACCTCCAACAAACCAAAAACAAGCAAGCAGGCTAACAATCCCCACCCCATCCCTCCATGCCTGACTTTTTACACGGGTTCTGGGAATGTGAATCAGGTCCTCTCCCTTTGTGCTTTACTTTCTGAACCATCCTTCTACCCTTGAAATACAAATTTCTATGTGTTCATCTTGTGTCCAGTAAAGGAGTTAAACTCTTCCTCTGTTTCCATGAATCTTTTTCCTCAGAACTGGGACAGTTTCTAACTAGAATATCACATCCTGTACAAATTAGGGCAGTTCTTTTTGTTCTTTCTAATCTTTATATCCATTCCTTGTCTCATTGCAGTGTGAATTCACAGTGCTAGGTAGAATGATAAGAGTTAGCTGCCCTAACGGATGTGTAGCAGCAAATGCATTTAAGTCACTGATGCTGAATATATTTAAAATTATTATAAACTTTCATATATCTAACTTTTTGATTCAGAGTCTCAATCTGTAACCCATACTTGCCTGGAACTCATTATGTAAGCTAGTCTTGCCTTACTTTTGTGTTATTATTTTAAGTGAACAGTGTCTCAGTCTCATGTCAAACATACACGGAATATTTGAGTGCATGTACATGCATCCTTGCAGGGGCACATGCCTGTGCGCTCTCTCTCTCTCTCTCTCTCTCTCTCTCTCTCTCTCTCTCTCTCTCTGTGTGTGTGTGTGTGTGTGTGTGTGTCTGTGTGTTGTTTGACTCTAAGATCCAAAACCAGGGGATGCGCTCTCACAGAAACACACACAGTCAGGACTCGCTGCAATAACATGAGGTTTAATGATACTAGTGCACTAGGACTCTCTCGCATGCAGGCAAGAGAGCCCCAAACAAAAGCTGGGACTAGTTCTTATACAGAGTTCACGAGGGCAAACCACAAAGTCTGACCTTTCCAGGTCCGGTCTCTAGGTGACTCAGATTATGACAAGGAGTGTCCTGGAATGTGTCTGTGTGCTCTGGGCCTTCCTCACTCGAAGGTGGGTTCCCTCTCCCGTGGTCTGAGGAATGTTAATCAGCCTATCCCTTCTTCTTCTGAATGTCAATCAGAGTGTCCTCTGACTAAGGAATGTGCCCCTCCCAGGATGTGTCCTGGGACAGTGGGGTTCTTTCAAATTTTAAGTTCAAACCAAGACCCGAAAGTCCTACAATGTGTGTGTGTGTGTATGTGTGTGTGTACATGCTTATACTTGCAGAGGCTGGAAGAACTTGTCAAGATCTCAGCACTAAAACTACTTACAGGTGTTGGCTAGACACCTCGATTGTTATGTGGTCTTGGGATCTGAACTCCATTTTTCATTATTGGCATCTTCATAATTCCACATCAAGTGCTTTTAACTGCTAAGCCAGCTAGCTCTCCAGTCCCTAGTGAAAGAATTCTTTTTTTTCCAAGTAGTATTTGCATGTGAACTACAACCTAACCTCAACTGTTTCAACTCATTACACTTGCAGACTTTTCAATCTACAGCACTAGATTGGGATATGAATACCTAGGCAGGAAAATATAATACACCCAAAGATACATGAATTGGTGTCATGGTTGTAGCTAAAAAAGAAAGAAAGAAAGAAAGAAAGAAAGAAAGAAAGAAAGAAAGAAAGAAAGAAAGAAAGAAAGAAAGAAAAACAAACCTTCAGCTGGGCATGGTGGTACATGCCTTTAGTCTCAGCACTCAGGAGGCAGTGGCAGGCAGATCTACTTGAGTTGTTTGTGAGTTCAAGGCCAGTCTGTTCTACAAAGCAAGTTCTATTTAGAAAAACCCTGTCTCAAACACCCCTCCCCAGGAAAAAAAATCAAACAAGCCATATATTTAAAGGAAGTAAGCAGAAAAAGTAGGCATGATAGTGCATGTTTACAATCCCAGAACTTAAGAGGCTGAGTCAAAATAAAGTCCAGCTTGGCCTACATACTGAGTTCAAGTCCAGCCTGGACCACATAGCAACACCAGAGGTTTAGACTGTCAATGAAGACAGTTGCTGAGGTTCTTCAAGGTTAGTTTCTTTTGAATATTAGAAAATCAACCCCTTGGGGTACAGAGTCAGTAAACTGAAATATAAATGTTTTGGGCACATTGTTCTTTCTATTAGATCAGCACTTTTTTATTTTTTATTTTTTAATTTTTTATTTTGGTGTTTTGAGACAGGGTTTCTCTGTGTAGCCCTGGCTGTCCTGGAGCTCACTCTGTAGACCAGGCTGGCCTCGAACTCATAAATCCGCCTGCCTCTGCCTCCCAAGTGCTGTAATTAAAGGCGTGCACCACCACTGCCCAGCTAGATTGGCACTTTTACTATAAAAACTTCTTTCAAATAGCCCTATTGAGATAAAATTTTATACTGGGTGACTTAAAAGTTTGGTCCAATATAACCGAACTTATAAGTGAGGTCTTCCAAGAAGCTACTGAAGAGATCAAATAATTGTCTGTGACACTTAAGCTTTTTATAAGTTCCACCACCATTGGGCAACTCTGGAGAGCACTGGGCTAATGTTGATACCCTGAATGTGGGCTGTTACTTCCTCAGATTATGCCAGATGTAGACTGGAGCAAAGACAAGTATAAACGCCATAACAATTGCCTGTTTTCTGAGATTCTCCCATCCATTTCCTGAGAAATGTAAGCCTTTGACTTATTTTTATGGTCCTAAACATGCTGATTTCAATGATTAGCCAATATCAAAATCTTATTCATGTTTTGGAGAAGAGAAATTTTTGTACTCTTACTCTGCCATTTTTATCTTGTCATGTTTCAATGAAAAATGGACACTTTAAATAATACTGTAGCAACTTTAGACATCAATCCCTCATGGACATACTGGTCTTGTTGCTTATTTGTTGAATTAATTGACTAGACTATTTCATCAACGTTGATTTCCTTGTAACACAGAGCAACAATGAGTAAATATTTTATATAATATTAGAACAATTTAGTGATTATATAATGTTGGAAAAATAACGTTGTGGTTACTAGGACATATAAGTAACGTTATGCAGACCAAGATTATATTTAAGAATATATATATGTATATACACATACACATATATGCATGTAGCAACAATTCATGAAAAAAGAGGTCATGACTTTGAAAGAGAGCAAGGAGGGGTTAAGAGGGGGAGAAAGGGAAAGGAGAAATTATATAATATTATCTCAAAAATAAATGAAAAGAGAAACAAAACATAAATTGTTCCTGACACGAATATGGCAGTTCCAGGTTTTTTTTGGGGCATTCTCTGGCATGCCTTTATGAAATGTATTTTTGAATAGTA